TTTGATAATATAATATTACATTATTACTATATATAGTAATTAAATTATCTTCTTAATTTTATTTAAATCTATATTTTATCATTTAAAAGAAATTTTTAAATTTTTTATGAATCATCTTGTATATACAGGTACAGTTTTAAAGAATTAAATAAATATAAAATATTATATATATATATATGTTTAAATTAAAATTGTATGTGATTAGTAAAAATAGTATAAAAAATATTTAAGCTAAAAGTATAATGTATGCTGCATAATATAAATATTACGTATATTATTTCTATTATACATTATATTATATTGAAATATTTCTATCACAAATAGATAGGAATTAAAGTAAATTTCAAATCATCAGTGCATAATTTTATAGTGAATTAAAAGAAGAATGTGGTTTATCTGCACAAGAACTAAGAAAAATTGGAATTCTAGAATTTGAATTTGAAGAAAATGAAGTTCTATTAGAAGTTCATGTTTTTGAAACATATAAATATTATGGAAAGATAATAGAATCTGAAGGTATTTAAATTTTGAATAATAATTTTTTTAAACAATATTATTACAATATTAATATTATAATGAAATATTTATTCTAATTAATAATAGTAATTATATATATTTTATGTGCAATTATTATTCAATGATTCTATATTTGTTTATTTTAATTATGTTGCAATTTTTATTTAATTAATTATTTATTTAATTAAGCATAAAATTGAATATGATATATGCTTAAATTAAACAAATTGTGGAGATCAATTAAAAAAACAGAAAAAAAACAGAAAATACATTTGAGCAAAATGAAAAACTTTAAAATATATATATTACATGAAATATAATCTAATATATATTTTTTTAAAAATATAATAAATACATTGTAATTATATTTATATTTTTTTGTTCAGAAATGCGACCAAAATGGTATAATTTAAAAGATATTCCTTTTAAAGAAATGTGGCCGGATGATGAATATTGGTTTCCTTATATGTTACGAGGGCAATTTTTTAAGGGATATTTTTTGTACAGAGGTGAAGATCTAATTCTGAAATATAACATTGAAACTATGGAAGAACTACCAACTTTAGATCATATTTCTTAATATTCTCATTCATAATTTTCATACATTCCTTTTTTTTTTACATATTAATAATCATAATTATTATTAAAAAATTCACTTTCACTTTTATTTTTATAATTATAATAAAATTTGGCTTTACATTTGATAACTTTTTTAATAGTAAAACCATTATCATCTTGGAATCATTATTTGTTATCACTTATTAATCTTAGATTATATCGAAAGGAATTTTAAGCAAATATTGTACAAATATATTATATTGATACTACATTAATTATACCTGCCTGTAATTTTTAATCAAGTAAAAGCATACACAATAAATTATCTCAAATAAAATATATAAATATTTGATAATGATATTATTATATAGTGATATTTCAGAGATCATTAAATAAATTTTTCTGTATTGCAAAGCTAATAATAAGTTTTTCTAATTTTTTTTTATCAAATAAATATATAACTATTTTAAAAATCTAAGTACTTATAATAAGTTATAAAACTATACTGTGATACCTCACATGAAGATAAAAATATTTTGCTTAAATTATATTATCATTTCATAAATAAAAATTTTGCAAAGAATATATCAATCAAGCACCATATAGCTTGGATAGAATAAAGAATAAATATTTTTGTCTTCAGTTCAAAAGATATAAGATGAAGCAAGATTAAAAGCTTAAAATCTACAATCTAAAATATGGACGTATAGAATTGTCAACCACACACAATTATATCACTTTTTGCACCACAAAGTACTCGCTTATGACTTTACTTTATCTTTACTTTATATATTTACTATATAATTAAATTATGATTAAGCAGCTGACCAATGTTCAGATCTCCATAAGAGAGCATACATACTATGCTTAAGATCTTCTGTGTCTAAACTATCAATCAAAAAATCTGTATATCGCGAAATTAAACTTCGGTAACCCTGACCAACAGTTGCCAATACTAATTTCTTTTCATCTGTTGATTTAAATGATATTATTTGACATACCTTACCTTCAAAAGGTCTGAAAACAGTAATAGGTCTAAGTGAATTACATTCAGCTACTACAATACATCCCCAAGTAGTACCAATATACAACTGATTCCTACAAGTTTCTAGAGCTGTTACTTGGCACTTTTCTGTTGATAAATTTTCTTCTATAGAAATGGATTTTAAACTCTCTGAACAAGGTACTAATTTAGACATATCTAATTTATTTATTATTTGTCTAGTATCCACATCCCATTGATACACAATACATCCAGGATACGTATATGATAATACAGAATTTTCTGCACTCAATAAGTGTGTAGCAAATAAATTTTTAATAGCTGCTTCTCCAGTTACATGAGAAACTTGTGCTGCATCTATTAAATTATTATCTCTTAAAACATAAATTGATACTTTACCAAAACTTTGTCCAATCCATAATTCCAATATGCGTTTTTTTTTATAAACAGCTGCCAAAGAATATGTCTTTACATTGTCTTGAATATCAGTCGTAATTTCCATTTTTTTCATTTGTGTAAATGAATTTGATAATAAAAATGTTTTTCCACTATGCAATGCTACTGCAAAATGTTTTATTTGTTCTAAATAAATTAAACCTACTATTTTAGATTCTATACTATGATCAGGTTCAAGATTATAACTAGCAACACAACCAAAATTACTGCCTAAATAAACATGTACTTGTCCTATATCATCACCAATCCATATATATCCATCTACTCCACACATTGCATATGGTATTATAGGAGTTTCAATCCTAACATGTTGTAACCAACCTTTCTGTGTTCCTAATAACATATCAACTTCACCATTATTATGTCCAAACCAAATTTCATCTCCACTTAAATTTTCTTCTATAGTTCTATTTGTCATAGTAATAGCAGTTACTTGAGTTCTTTCTGTTAATAATATAACATCTATAAGATGTGTAAATTCAGGTGCTGATGCAATAGAAACTATTTGACTTGCAGTAGGTCGATCTTTTGGATTTTGAGCCCAACATATAACCATTAAATCAAGAGCATAACAAGGATGAAATGTTTCTCTATATGTTAATGGTGGTCTTCCACCTTCCAAAATACATTCTTTAACTGCTTCATGACCCTCAAATGGTTGTCTTAAAGTAATTAATTCATATATAAACATTCCAAATGAAAAAGAATCAACTTTTTCAGTATATTCTTCTTCACCATTATATTTAATAATTTCAGGTGCCATAAATCCTTCAGTTCCACCAAATCCTTTAGCACCAGTTGGTAATGTAAGTCTGGATATACCATAATCAGCAACCTTAACATGAACAGGATGTTCAGGATAATCTTGAAATGGTAAAGGCATCTGCCAAACTAAAACATTTTCTGATTTTAAATCCCTATAAATTACATGTTGTTGATGAAGATATTCTACAGCTTTTGCTACTTGAAGAATTATAGCTTGTAATGTATATGGATCTAATTTAGCACCAGAACGTCTATAATTTTTCAATACATTATCCAATGCACCTTCTGGTGCTAAATCTAGTACTAGTGCTAATGGACTAACTACTATTCCAATTAAAGGTACAATATTTGTATGTCTAAGAGTCAACAAAATGTTTAATTCTTGTCTTGCTGTACAGTAAGCTTTACAAGCATACTGTAATGGATCTCTATCCCATTTACTTTGAGCTGCTTTATAAGCAAGAACAGCAGATTGTTTTGAATTTGGACCTGGTGGAACTGGTTGTAACATTTTGATGGCAACATCGATTTTTTGATAAGTTCCTGGTAATCGACAAACACCTTTAAATACAAATCCAAATGCTCCTCGACCTAATAACTTTCCCAATTTAATATCTTCTGATTTTATTAAATGCTTCGATCCGAGATCCATAAAAATTATATCGGGAGCTACATGTGATAATGGTATATCAGAATGTTTAGGACAACTTATTGGTTTATTACTATAAGCAGATAAAATACATTCTTCGACCATCCAAGAATATGCTAAAATACCTTCAGAATGACTATTTTGTTTAATAATATCTGGATGACCTTCTAAAGATGGCATTCTACTTGATGTTAAGCTATCATATCCCACACCACTATCACCATCAGACTTATAACTATCTTGACTTTGTCTTTCTTTATTTATATAATATTTTTGGATATCTTCCGTTAAACGATCATTATCGCTAATTTCATTTTCATTTTCTCCGTTATTTAATAGACAGCGTGGACATGGTATCAATCGTGTAACTAATAGTTTACCTTCAGATGTATGCACAAAACGTGTTCCTAATGTTGGATACCAATCTTCTAATAAAATATCGATATGATCAACTATTAAGGCCAATAATTGTGGCATACTTTCTGGTCGAGGTTCTACTACAATTGCTTGATAGCCCATTGGTTCCTCTTCAGCTGAATCCGACATTATAGGTTGTTTTATCACCAAAGTATCAACTGGAAACCAAATTTCTAAAATAGCAGAATTTTTTAAATCTACTGTACACCATATTCCATCCTGTTTCAATTTAAATTTAAATTGTCTATAGTCATATGGCGAATTCTTTAAATTATAATTGACTTCTTTAAGACGCAGTAAAGTGATATTAGAATATTTTAACTCTATTCCTGTTTGCCAAAGTATCCACTCTGCTTGTGTATCTAACAAACTTGTAAAAATATTATCATCGACAAAATCTTTGAAAGGCGCTAAAAATGACATCACAATTTCAACAATAGCATCATCGGCTAAAATTCTAGTTATGAGCCTTGACCAAAAGCCACTGGGAAAATAAGACATTAAAAGTAATCGCGTAACAGAACAATCTGGTTGTGATCTAGATGTCAATACACATTCTGTATTCAATTTATCTCCAGAAGAATTTTGAAATGTTATCATTGGAGATGTAATTTTTTTAGAACGTATATGCCAACCTCGTGTTTTTACAGGAATTTTGATTATTTGATTATTTCTTAAAATATCCTCTTCAGTTGGCAACAAAGAGGGAATTAATAAAGTACGATAGTCCCAAGTTAATGCAACTTCGAACTTATTTAATAAGTTAACGATATATCCTTGCGTATCTATAGATGATATAGTAGAAGATTTAAATACATGTTGAATATCGTCTAATTTCATTATACCACATCTGGCAAAAGGATTAATTTCACGTATTGTTACTACATGTGCTAACATGTCGCAAAGCCATTGTGGATCGAGAAAATATAAATCTTTCAAAGTAGCATCGTCATAATGTAAAATAATGCCATTTTCATGAAGAAAAAGTGTCGCTTGATGTAATTCAGCAGGATCTCTAAATGATCTATGCAATTTTTGAAGCTCGTTATTTACTGCCGTATAATACTGATCAGCTTTCAAAACCGGATCCGTACCTGATAATTTCCTATCATGTGCAAGCTGTATTACCACGTCTTCCAAGGCAAGATAACTGGCAGGAACTTTTTGTTCGAGTAATAATTCTTTGCTTCCAGGTGATCTTAAACTAAATACAACATCATATATTAAATTACACAGCATTTTTATATTATGCTTCGTTTTACAGCTCACTTCGATAGTCTCCATCACTTTTGGCAAACCACATTTTTCGGCATCAACTACATTTATAAATTTATCACGGATATATTGCTGTAAAGCCTCGCTATGTTCGTATGATATATCATAATGAGTACCAACGATAATTACAGGTGAATTAGGAGCTCTGCTTTGGATATTTACCAACCATTGAAATATTTCTGATACACCTTTAAAACCATCTGTAATTCTCCATACAACTAAATATAAACTCCGCTTAGACAAAAAATATTGATGCGTTGCATAATATTCTTTTTGTCCACCAAAATCCCACGTTCTAAAATAAACTGGACCATGAGATGATTGTCCTCTCACTTTTTTCTCGTAAATCCAATCCCCAATATCAACGCCTACAGTGGATATTGTTGTTCCTCTGGCAGTCTTTGCATTAATGTTTTTATTGCCCATTCTTTTCGCCCAATGTTCTGTAGCTTTTTTTTTATTTGGAACTTCACCTTCTTGTCTCAATTGTTCTAATAAACTAGTCTTACCGATACCTTGAATCCCTACGATCATTAATTTCATACGTGCATATGATTTAGCATCTTCTAAGATTGATTTTAAATATCCAATCACGTCCATCGTTTTATATTTTTTCGATTCAATCATGGTTTTCAAAGGTTCTTGCAATTTACAACCTTGAGTATTTAAATTCCACAAACGAGAAAGTAATCCCATTTGTGGTGGCAATTCGACAATGTCCGGATTACCGCTTATATTTAAAACAGATAGATTATTAAGTTCATAAATATTT